CACATACCTGCATTTCCCATATCCCCTCCCTTTGATGCTGCTAATCCTGCATAATGCACGGGCAAAAGTAGTACTAATCACATACCTGCATTTCCTATATCCCTTCCCTTTGATGCTGCTAATCCTGCATAATGCACAGGCATAAGTAGTACTGATCACATACCTGCATTTCCCATAAATATGCTAAATTCCTCTTGATATGCATATTCTTTTGTCAAGGCGCCCTTTTCCCCCCTTCCAACCCAGCTTATATATATGTAATAAAAGGACTCTTTCACAGTGTAGATCTCCGTTGTCCTTTATTCGGGTTCTTGTCTCTCTCTTGCCCCTACGGCGTCCTCGCTCAGACCCGCGCCTCCTCCACCGTACACCCTGCAGCAACACTGCTGTTCTGCTCCGCAGCTACACTGCTGCTCCGTCTGCAGCCACACCGCTGCTTCGCTCTGCAGCCACACTGCTGCTCTGTGTGCCCCGCACACTCTGCTAGCTCTTCACGCCCGGCTAGCTTCCCACACTCCACTAGTTCTGCTGTGCCCCACGTACACCGCTGGCCGACGGTGCCGTGGCCTTCCACCACGTGGCAATCGCGCCACTCTCTCGCCACTGCCCAGCGTGGCCTCCTCCTGTTTCCACTCCTTCTCAACTCCCCGATCCCTTCTGGTTCTCCCCCTAAATCCTCTCCCTCACGTGACCCAGACTCCTCCTTCTCCTCACGTGACCCAGACTCCGCCCCCTCATTCCTTGCTCACATTACATGACCCCCCCCCCCCCTGATGAAAAACCCAGCCGTCCCCGGCTGCAACAGAACAAAATAATGCGAGCAATTTACAACCATCGGGCATCACTAGACAACGGAGATCATAACAACACAACAAGAACAACAATTAACGAACGACAACAACAAGAACAACAATTAACGAAAGGAAAGGGACTTGGAACGCATGTGGGTCGCCGGCCCATCCCGAACGGGAGGCGGCCCGCCCACAAACCGTGACCGCGACAGGGTTTTAAGAGCGGCGGGATCGGAACTGCCTGCCGCTGTTGGAGGCCCGTCAACACCAAAGTCCCGTTCCCCAGAGAGACCCGTCACCGGGGTCTCCCGCAATTTCGTCCGTGGTGGGGTTGGAGGGGCAGCGGGGTCAAGTGTCCCTGTCGCCGTGGTAGGCCCACCCGGAGCAGGATTGGCTGCATCCGCCTGTGTCATGGCCGGTTCGTCTGTAGAAGGCACAACAGGCGCGCTTGCAGGTTGAACAGGCAAAGTCAGAGGCGCGTCGGATGGACGTACCAGCGCCGCGATCCAAACCGAACACGCGTGGACTGCGGGTTTTGAACCTCAATAAGCTCAACCGGTCCCTGCCATGGTTTGTGCAACTTAGGGGAGGTCCCCGCCCGCACCTGCGGGCAGTGCAGCCAGGCCATGTCCCCCACTCGCCAGGGGGATTTCCCATCCGAGTGCCGAGCGCAACGTTCGTTCCGGGCCTGGGTCTTGGCCGTAGCAAATCGGGCCCCCTCCCGTGCCTCTGCCATGCGACGAACAGCATCCTGAATGTACTCGGGGTGAGGCTAAACAGGACCCTTCGTCCCCGTACCCAGCTGCACATCCACCGGCGGCACATTCTCGCGGCCGTACATTAAAAAAAAAGGTGAATACCCCGTCGACGCATGAGGCGTCATCTGGTATGCGGAGAGTACCCCTGGGATATGCAAATCCCAATCAGCCTTTTTTTCGCTAACCGTGTGACATAGCATGGCCAACAGGGTCCGATTTAGCCGGTGGTAGGGAGACGTCCGAACCTTCTTGGTTCCCAGTGCAGCACACACCTCGGCCAACAATTTAGAACAAAAATTCCGCCCTTGGTCCGTGAGCAACCTTTCCAGCACCCCTTTGTCCATTACATATCCGAACAGACGCTGTCGACTGGTCGGGTAAGGGCCAAGCCATCGGCCAGCAGGAAAGATATTCCACCCCGACCAGCAAAAATGTATTCCCCCTAGCGGATGGCGGGAAGGGCCCCAAAATATCCAACGCCACCAACTCATTAATCCGAGACACCTGTATGAACTGCACTGGCGGCACATATGGGTGTTTAGGCGGCTTCCACCAGGCACATGCCAGAAGTAGTCCCGCTGCAATGTCAACAAGGTTTTCTGCACCCCGAGATGTAACAGAGTCCGAACCAACTCGTACCGTAATGACGACGGCACCACCAGACACCAGCGATCGTGCAACCCTTCTCTCCACATCAGCAAGCCATCCCGGAGAGCGGCTCCCAGTGTCCCACCGGACAGCGGTCCCCCCGTCCCTTTCGCAGCCCGACCCCGCAAGGCCCCCAGCGACTCATCAAGCAATTGCTCGCGAATCCATACCGAGCGCGGCAGGTTCAAAACCCCATCATCCGGTCCTGGGCATACGGGAGCCTCGGGCACCTCGACAGCTGACACAACAGGCCAAGGGGGTTGCGGAACCCGCGTACACCTATTCGTACCCGAAGCGCAAGCGCAAGGGGATCCCTGCGGCAATCTGGAGAGTGCGTCCGCGTTCGTGTGACGCAACCCCTTCCGATACTGAATTTCGAACGAAAATTCCTGCAGGGTTTCCAACCATCGTGCCAATTGGCCAGATGGTTGGTCAACTCTCAGGGCATATTGCAAAGCCGCATGGTCCGTCCGAACAATAAACGTACGGCCGTATAGACACGGCCGATATTGGCAGAGAAAATGCACAATAGCCAATAGTTCGCGGCGAGTAACGCAGTAGCAGGTCTCTGCCGGAAACAGCACACGGCTACCGTAAGCCACTACGCGTTCAACGCCGCCCTTGGACTGTGACAGAACGGCCCCAATCCCGGTGTCACTAGCGTCAGTATCCAGAATAAAAGGGCGATCAAAATCCGGATAGTCCAACATCGGTGCCATCGCCAAACGATCGCGTAGGCCCTCAAACGCCGCTTCCTCCGTCGGCCCCCAGCTGAACCTCCGGCCCTTCGCCGTAAGGAGGTGCAACGGCCTAGCGATCGTCGCAAAGTTTGGAACGAACCTGCGATAATATGAAGCGAACCCAACGAACCGACGTACGTCCCCCACAGTGGCCGGAGTCGGCCAGTTACGAACGCACGCCGTCTTCTCTGGGTCCATGGCCACCCCGTCCGCACTGACTATGTGGCCCAAATAACACACGGATCGTTGCAGTAGGTGACACTTCTTGGGTGTAAATTTCAAATTGGCGGAGCGCATCCTAGCAAACACCGCGTCCAATCTCTGCAGATGTTCCTCAAACGTGCGGCTGAAGACGATAACATCATCTAAATATATCAAACATGTATCCCACTGCAGACCCGTTAACACAAGCTCCATCAGCCGCTGAAAAGTGGCGGGGGCAGCGTTCAAACCCATTGGAAGACAATTAAACTGAAATAAGCCCTGCGGCGTACGGAAAGCCGTCTTTTCCCTTGAGGACTCGTCCAGGGAAAGCTGCCAGAATCCCGACGAGAGGTCAAGCGTAGAAAAAAACTTCGCCCCAGACAAGGCATCGAGGGAATCATCCATACGCGGCAGGGGGGACGCGTCTGCCACCGACACTTTATTAAATTTGCGAAAATCTACACAAAATCGCAATATCCCATCCTTTTTCTTCACAAGGACCACCGGCGCGCCCCACGGACTGTTGGATGGGGAAATAATGTCAGCAGCCAGCATATCCTCCACTGCGCCGCGAACATGATCCCGCTCCGTCGGACTCAACCGATGCGGGTTCATCCGAATCGGAGCGGCATCCCCCATATCAATATGGTGGGAGAGCAAGGAGGTGCGTCCCAAGTCGAAATCGTCCGAACTAAAAACGTCGGAATACCTTACCAACAGCTCGCGAAGCGCAGACCGTTGGTCCCCAGTCAAAGACGCATTTTCCTGGCACAACTCGGCAATCCACCTATCATCCTGCGCCGTGGAGGCCGAGACCCCTCCTACAAGGCCCCGGCAGTGCCGGTTATCATGGGCCGTGAAAGCCGTCGTAGCGTGAGCCAAAACTGTTCCGGCCGGTACACTAACATTATCCGCGCTTCCATTCAACACTTGTAAAAATGGAGGCTGACCCGGCGGGACAATCGTCTGTGCCCCGACCAGCGTCGAGCCACCCGTTATAGCCGTGGACGGCGATAACAACACACCCGCCGCTCCCTCAATGCCAGGCACAGGTTTCCGATACCTCAACGGAATAAGCATCTGCGAACCAGGTGGAATATCAACAGATACCTCGGACAGCGCCTGTACCTGGCAGACAGGAGCAGACTGGCCCCAGGGCGACAGCAAGAATGACATTTTCCGACTCCCCGGTAATTCAATACAATTATGATTCACCCTTCTTTGAATGGGCATTTTTGCCAGGAAATCGGTCCCCAACAAACAGGGCACCGCGAGGTGATTTGTGCGGCGGTGACAAGATGGCGTCACTCCGCAACGTGTTCAAAATGGCGGCTCCCCGCGGTGGAGGCAGAAAGATGGCGGCTTCCCGCCATTCCTCCTCAGCCACGCCCAAGATGGCGGTTTCGTGCCGCGTGTTGGAGAGGGCTGACAGCGTCGGCAAGGCCCCAGTCGGATGGTCCCCGCTTGGCCTCCCCGAACTCGTCGTGGGCGTCACAAGGGTGCATAGCTGCGTTAAAACAGCCTTCAGCGACTCAAGTTGGGCAGCCACGTGTCGCCATCCTCCATCGGCGTCCACCAACGCGGACGGACCTGTTGAGCTGGCAACGTCCTGCACCCCCGGCGCGTCGCTCGTCCCTGCGTCGCCTCCTCCCTCCATCGTCGGTAGCGCCACCGCCGGAGGAAGATCGTTTTCAGAAGATGGTGCAGAAGATGGTGCAGGGACGTTCTTTCTTCTGAGCTGTTTTGACATGCCGTTTCACTTCCGACACCAATGTAATAAAAGGACCATTTCACAGTGTAAATCTCAGTTGACCTTTATTCGGGTTCTTGTCTCTCTCTCGCCCCTACGGCGTCCTCGCTCAGACCCGCGCCTCCTCCACCGTACACCCTGCAGCCACACTGCTGCTCCGTTTCGCAGCTACACTGCTGCTCCGTCTGCAGCCACACCGCTGCTCCGCTCTGCAGCCACACTGCTGCTCTGTGTGCCCCGCACACTCTGCCAGCTCTTCACGCCTGGCTAGCTTCCCACACTCCACTAGCTCTGCTGTGCCCCACGTACACCGCTGGCCGACGGTGCCGTGACCTTCCACCACGTGGCAATCGCGCCACTCTCTCGCCACTGCCCAGCGTGGCCTCCTCCTGTTTCCACTCCTTCTCAACTCCCTGATCCCTTCCGGTTCTCCCCCTAAATCCTCTCCCTCACGTGACCCAGATTCCTCCTTCTCCTCACGAGACCCAGACTCCGCCCCCTCATTCCTTGCTCGCATTACATATATGCTCCAAGCACGTGTGCTGTTTAATTCAGACGCTGTCGCCTCGGCAGACCTGGTTTCACCTGAGGACGGCTGCTTGCATTGTGGCCGAAACGTCGTGAGAATTGTTTTATTATGTTTTATTTTTATTATTTTATTACTTCCCTTCTACGTGACTTTACCGAAAGAACCAAGAAGCTGTATAACTAATTTCACAAGCTAAACATGTACACTTAGAACATAGGTTTTCATAGCCTCGCAGTAGGAGTGGAATGCTAAAAAATGTCCACATTATTCCTACACTACTTGACAGCGATTATCACGTTCACAAATATACATTATTTTTACGTGCCAATCTGCTGATCAGATCATGACCAATAAAGCCCCTGATCCGATGTCTTCATATTTCGTGATTGAATTTGACATCATCATGCAATGACGTTTCACTCAAACCACTTTTATGCTTTACCACCAGATAGTGAACTCGTGCTATTGTTGTATCGTGGCAACCACCGTGATTATTGTCCAATTATGAACCTGGCACGAGTGACTTGAGTGAAGTTACATTTATTTCAATCTCTGTGTGTATAAGTCCATAACATAGCAGATACAACCATGCCAGATACAAATGAATCAAGTCCAGATAATACCCAGATGAACCAAAAGTGGATAAAAAAAGCCAGGTAAAACTAATCTCAGATTAAATCATAAAATAAAATTTAAAAAATTCAAGTGTAACCCAAAATATCCAACTGTAAAATGTACAGTGTTTACCGTACCTTACCACTCCAATCTGAAAGACTGTGCATGGGGTAGTACTACGCTCTTGTTTCAACAACAACAATTAGATTTTGTTTGACCATCTCAGGACTAGGGCAGTTTTACCGGTTTCGCCGTATTGGCCCGAGACCACCAGGTAATATTGGAAACCAGATAATCGTGCGCCGCATAATCGATTATCAATTATACTTTCAAGTCAATTTCATATTACTTATATTGCGCAGCTCAAGAAAGGTATTGACATGAATTTCTCACCTCTTCTGGAATTGTGAGATTGCCTTCTTCCCCATGATATGTCTCGAATTTTTTGTAACTCAGAGAGTGGTAACCCAACATTATTATTACCTGGAGGATTCAGCCCTAAATGCAATTCTGGACACAATTATTGTACAGCATTTTGGAATGCAATGAGCATGAATGACGCTATATATATTGTGAAATTAGTATTATTATCATTACTTAAAGCCAAATAAGATAATGGATACAGTCAGGATCAGAGGGAGAGATGCGGGCCTTCAGGGCAGGCTGTCCCTCAGGCGCAGGTCAGTGGCGGCCATTTTCTCTTTGTAGTCCTGCTCAAAGACCTCCAGCTGAGCCGCAGAGAAGTGATTCCTCCAGTCACCCACATCCCCTGCAAAAACAAAACAAAGATTCCCGGTATAGGCTTAACAAACTGTTGGGGTAAGTTTCGATTTAAAGCTTTCGTGACTGCAGGGATTCATCTTCTTGGTTCTTTCGGTAAAGTCATATAGAAGGAAGATAATACAATAATAAAAATAAAACATAATAAAATAATATAATTCTCACGACGTTTCGGCCACAACGCAAGCAGTGGTTTGGCTGCTACAGCTCCTTACTATTAAAATTCCTTCCCTTTATTACTGCTAACCCTACCTCCTCCCTTTGTTGCTGCTAATCCTACATAATGCACGGGCATAATATGACTTTGAGACCCCCCCCTACCCCCTCCTACACATTCCACAAGTAGTGACTAATCCCATATCTGCATTTTCCATAAATATGCTAAATTCCTCTGTTGATATGCAAATTCCTTTGTCAAGGCGCTCTTCCTCCCCTAACCCAGCTTAAATATACGCTGCCAAGCTTGGTAGTGTTCATTCAGACGCTGTTTTTCCGACAGACCTGTTCTTCACCTGAGGACGGCTGCTTGCGTTATGGCCGAAACGTCGTGAGAATTGTATTATTTTATTAGTTATATTTTTATTATTTTATTATCTCCCTTCTACGTGACTTTACCGAAAGAACCAAGAAGATGTTGGGGTAAGGGCTGTTAGTGAGCACCTATGAAGACACACGAGGGCATGGGAGGTCATCACCACGCTCGACAGCCGTTGTCGACTTTTGGGAGGCCCAGGGCCAGTTCAGATTATCATCATCAATGTTGGCTGTGAGCCTGAATCGAACTCGGGTAGCCGGGGCAGGGTGCTGTAATTCGTCACCATCAACAACCGCCACTCACCACGAAGTGATGGTGACATCACCACGGCGATTGTGCCAGGCTACGTGTACTTTTAATGCCACGTGAAGTGTCTTATGCCCAACTGGCAGGAGGTCATGCGACAGACCATAGGTGGACCGATTGAGATGACTGGAAAATCTACCACCTATGCCCTCTACTGTGCAAACTTGCTGTGTTTTAGCCGCCCGGTGCTCGGCTCATTGTTGTGAGCGTCGCTCCTCTGCCCTCCGTTGGGCAGTTGGAGGCAACTGCCTCCAACTGCCTCCAACTACCCAGGAGCGGCATTCACGAGCCTCCTGCTCCACTGAGGAAGATCTTGACACTGCTGGTATGAAGATAATCCCCATCCTACCACCACCTTCATTATTATCACCATGCGCCCCAACTGAGCCTCCAAAAACCTTGTGATCTTTACCCTTGCGCATGAAGGGCGACACGGAGTGGTCCAAGAACTCGGTGGGCAAGGTGCTGTAGTTCGTCATGGGGTTGTCGCGCATCATGGTGAAGGTGCTGAGCTTCACCACCTCACGCAGCTGCTGCTCGGACAGTGGCCGCTCCAGGAAGTCGGCGATGCGGGACACCTCACACATGGGGTCCTCAGCACACACAAGGGGGAAAGAGGAGGTGGCAGGAGCTTTACGCTCACAATCAGTGACGAGGCTAAGGGACTAAACAACTTGGGTCCCTAGGCTTTTTATAAAGACACACAGCCAGCCCCAAATTGTCTGTGGCGGTTCGCATTGGACCCATTTGGGAAGAGGTCCAAAAAAAACTAATGGGGGGCTGCCGAATACTACTCTGATCATAATTGAGCGGCCCTGTCGACTGCTGCCCCATCACAACACAAAAAAACTAAGAGAAAGATCCCCTGTATAGCGTTAACAAACTGTTGGGGTAAGTTGCTGTTCGCGAGTGACACCTATGAAGGCTGGCACAGCTCACGAGGGGGTGGGAGGCCACCACGCTCGTCCGCCATTGTCTCCCTGAGTGGCGAAGTTTACTACACACCGCACCAGGTACACATTTTGAGGCTGAGTCGACCTAGGGGAGGCCCAGGACTGATTCAAATAATTGTCACTGGTGTTGGCCGTGAGTGGGAATCCAACTCGGTCGGCTAGGGTTCATAGCGTAGTGCGCTAACCGCTGCACTACCGCTCGCCACGGTACGTAATAAATTCATACTCACAATACATACTTAATGTATGCATTCATCAACTTATGCTTGTGATGTCGACTGATTTCAGCCCACACTACAATTCCCTCCACACAGACCTCTGAATGTTTTTATTGGATCATAATAAGAAAAACAGTGAAATGTGGTGGCATTGGCTAAGATGACCACTTTGCCTTGGTTCTGACTCAGGCCATGTCCACCAAACATCAATATTGTAAATGTCGTGGGTTTATTCTCCAACAAAACGGCGTGCTGAACTAGTAACTACTAATTGGTTGTGTCGGGCGGTGGCGGGTTTACCGACACATTTATATCTAAGCGATCTAACCCAAAAAAAACAAACCTCTATTTTTGGTCCATATTTTTTAAAGTCGTTTTAAAGTCTGAGAGCCGTGCTACTTATGTCCTAGACTGCTCTGCGACCTTACTTCCTTCATGTCCTCGAAGAAGAGGTAGAGAATCCGATGCCGCTCCCTCACGTTCCACCACCCGGTCACGTGATCATACCACGGGCCGAAGCACACTGTGGGAAAGGGGACGTGGAGCGACCGTGTTGACACATTAAAAGTCGCGTCAGGGGGCAATAAATTGCATCCCTCTAGGTCAGATGGCTGGTCAGGACTCTAAAGTATTTGACTTGTCCAGTAGTTCCTCGGTTAACAGTGTGACATCCTCCATAATATAGTTTTTTTGGTTTTAATTGCGTAAATATATAAATGTGTCGTTAAAAACATCATACTGAGATTGTATATCTTGTGGCTTGGCTCTCCAACACACCGGTGTGCTGTACTAGTGACGAATTGGCACGTTCTGTTTACGTGACAACCCTTACTAGTTGGCTGTGTCGGGTGGTGGCAGGTTTTAAGGATACATTTATATATTTACGCGATCAAACCCAAAAAACCTGTATTATGAATGGTATATGTGTTTACGTTATGCAAGCAAGTGCCATTTTCGGCCAATCAAAGGGCTCGTAAGTGGGGCTGAGCCATGCCCGCAGCCAATCAGCAACGCCCATTTATGAGCGTTTACACCTCTACTGGGCTTTGTTACATTATGTTTTCTGTTTCGGCAGTGGAAACAGCTCTCTTGTAGACTCAGTGATTATTCACTTATTTTTCAACTTATCAGCGAATTCATTATGATTGCAATTTTTCTATTGCCGCACACGGCCAACACCAGTGACGATTATTTGAACCAGTCTGGGCATCTCCTAAAATTAGTACCTGGTGCGGCGTTGAAACATCGCTACTCAGGAAACAACAGCGGTCGGGCGTGGTGCTGGTCACCCACCCATTCGTGTGCCGTGCCGGCCTTAATAGGTGTTGCTGGCTAACAGCACTTGCCCCAACGGTCTGTTAAGGCTAAACAGATCATTTTTGTCTTTGTACCTATATGTGTGTGCGTGGTCATGTCGAAACTAAGTTGCAGGCCACGTGAAATGAATTCGGTTCCTCACTACCGGTATAGTAGTGGGGGACCAGCAGGGACTGTGGTTGCAATAACCCAGGTGCCTTCACCATTGCCAGTTATGAAACGATGCAGGTATTCCTCCCAGGTGCCGGGCTCCGGCTGCAACTTGTTCATTCGTTCAAAGTGGAAGGAGGATACGGCGTTGTCCTTGGCATTACGTGCGATGTAGATCACCTGGGGAGGAGACAGCAGATGTAGGGGTTGGGGAGAGTGGCACAGGGAGGCACTAAACTAAAACTGCATTCCCTGTTTACCTTGGGGTGCGAGAGGGATGTCCTCTGGCTCCTACATTATTTAACATCATCTTTAACCACGTAGTTCCAGAAACTTTACATGGCTATACCCGAGCAATTTCCATCTGGTACAGATACAATGGGAGGCTGATCGATGCCTGGTGTGGTCGAGGGATGGCTTACTATTGGTGAACTAGGTTACGTATACTAATGATTTGGTGATTGCTGTTCATTCAGATGAGGAGTTGGAGGTGCTCCTGCTGAGCCTGGAATGTGCCACTAAGAGATGGGGTCTTACCATCAGCCCCACCAAAACTAAGCACCTGCCTGGGTATTTTGTGCCATGAAACACTCCACACCCTCAGCTCTCCATTGGTGATGGAGCAGTTGTGGTGAGAGAGGAGAGTTTCCCATATTTAAAGCCAGCTCAGGTTGACACCAGAGGTATCCCTCCAAATCAGTCGGGCGGCATTATATATGCATCGGCTGCGTAACGCTGAATGGAAGCTACCTGTTCTGTCCCTCCACACGAAGCTTCGGGTCTTCTCGGCCACAGTCATAACCTCCTTTCTCTACGCTTGTGTAGGTCTTTCTAGGTTCTTTATTAACTCATATAGTTTCACATCTCCTTCGTCGGCATCACTCAATGTCTCTCCGTACTCTTCAACCCACAACTCCCCATCAACATCACTCAATGTCCCTCCGTTCGCTCGCTCCGCTGGCTTCGCTCGCTCTCCTTCTGCTCCTCCACCGACCCTCCTCTCTGCTCTCTTTCTCTCCAGCTCGGTCGCTCTTTGTTAACTCTGTCGTCCCACTCCGTCGTAGCTCTCTCCACCAAGGTCTGTGACACCTCTGCTATCCTACGCTGTACTCGCTCCGTCCACTGCTACTCTATCTAATACTCTCTATGTCCACTGCTACTCTAAACTATACTCTCTTTATCCACTGCTACCTTATACTATAGCCACTCTATCCGCTGCTCCGTCTCTCCCTCTGTTCGTCACTCGTCCCAGGCACCAACTCCCGTTTTTCTCCAGGTTCTCCGCCTTTATCCCTGAACCAATTGCCCTTAATTAATTGGATCATCCCCCGCTTCGCTACTCGCCCCCAGCCCCCAGTGCCACGTGGTGTTGTTGTTATAGACACAGCGGCGCCAATTTTAGACACCCATACCTCTCGTCCAATCACTGGCCTGCGTCCTCAATTACCCCTGGCTACCTGCGGCCCCCCTTAACTACCATGCCACCTTAATTGGTACAACAACAACAGAAAGTCGCTCAGCGCCCTGTGTCCCCGTTTGCCCTCACTGTCCGCCACGTGCACGCATCTCAACCCAGCGCGTGACGCGTGTTTCTCAAGTCCTACACTTGTAAAATGTGGACCCCTCTAATGGAACATCTGAGCCGGTTAGAAAAATTCAGGCTGGCCTACCTACGATCCATCCTGGGTTTAATCAGGCTGGATTATGTGAGCGCTGGGAGCTGTCTCCGCGTCGCCACGTGGCCGATGGCTCACGGAGACTCCTGACGTGGCCCAACTTCCAGCTCCCACTAACTCCCCCGAGCCCCTTCCGGCTCCCCCTTATATCCCCTTTCCACGTCACCCAGACTCCGCCCTTCGCCACACCCCTAAGAACCTTCCAGATAAAACCCCTCCCTTAACGCCCCCAGGCTCTGCACTTAGACCCTGCCCCCGATGCTTCGTGGCGTCTGATTGGCTTAGGGGCTGGGGCGGTGAAACCCCAAATACGCTCGCATTACATCTGTGAATGCAGCCCAAAGCGGGTGGTAAACGCCATCTAAGACTTGAAGTGCCATACGGATATATGAGTTCGGGGACGCATTGGCTTAGGTGTGACCGTTGGGTTAAAGGGATTATCCTGCAACACATTGTGAGTGTACTACCATGGTAGCTTGTCTGGAAATTAAAGAGAGACCAACCCTATTGAATCGCTTCAGACGAATGGTTTCGATTTATCTCGATAGACTCGAACCCACACAATATACACGGAAGTGGCCTGGCTAAAAAAATATATGATAGTGCCGTCAATGAAGGGCAGCCTGGAAAATCAAGCAAGAGACTAAGCGTGGTGGTGGTGATGGTGATGGTGGTGATGGTGGTGGTGATGGTGATGATGGTGGTGATGGTGGTGGTGATGGTGATGGTGCTGGTGGTGATGGTGATGGTGGTGGTGATGGTGATGGTGGTGATGGTGGTGGTGATGGTGATGATGGTGGTGATGGTGGTGGTGGTGATGGTGATGGTGGTGATGGTGGTGGTGATGGTGGTGATGGTGGTGATGGTGGTGGTGGTGATGGTGGTGGTGGTGGTGGTGATGGTGATGGTGGTGGTGATGGTGATGGTGGTGATGGGGGTGGTGGTGGTGGTGATGGTGGTGGTGGTGATGGTGGTGGTGGTGGTGATGGTGGTGGTGATGGTGGTAATGGTGGTGGTGATGGTGGTGGTGGTGATGGTGGTGGTGGTGGTGATGGTGGTGATGGTGATGGTGGTGGTGGTGATGGTGGTGGTGGTGGTGGTGGTGGTGATGGTGGTGGTGGTGGTGGTCCACCTTGCAATCGTTTTCCCAAAATGAGGGAGGCACCAGCTGGTAGGGCAGGTGAGTCTTGATCGTGCGAGGAGACGGCAAATCATTCAGCACCTCCACTCCTGGAGCCACGCGACCAGAAACATCACAATCAGAATATTTAAACTAAACTTTTTTTTTACTTTACCAGTTCTAAGACATGGTCATCATAGCTCAACAAAGTGGCGGATTACACTGGAAAACAAAAAAAATAAATTTTGGCCTGGACTTTTGCAGCTGTTCTAGACTAATTTCAGGGTGCTGATTCCAAATCTGATCTCAGATTTGCTCTATCACATCTCATTTTTATGCTATCGGCATACACTATTTTAATTGATTTTACCCGAAATTAACTCTGTCACTTATGATTGCAAGTTGTTGCGAGTCAGTGACTGCTTTAGTGTTAAAATATGGTGCTGTATTTTTAGGATAGTGTGTTTAGAATATCATTTTATGTAGATACCCACATATATTTAATATTTTTCTTCTGCAGTTTTTATTGAAAATGCAATATTTTATATCTCAAAAACCTGATGTGATAGACAAAAACTGATGCCAGATTGGGAATCAGCACCCCAAAATTACCTTAAAACCGTTGGAATACCTTATTCCAGCTGCAAAAGTCCAGGCCAGAAATAAAAGTTTTTTTGTTGACCAGTGTTATCAATAACGACACATTGACTTGATCTAGCCAAAAAGCACCATTATTATGAATCAGCAATTCGACTTTCTTTTGGCTGCAATCATATTCCACGTGGTGATGATGTAGTAGACATTTATTTTGACGCCACTTCGTTGAGCTATGATTCGTGATGACCAGGTCACTTTTCAAAAAGAGCTGCATCGCTCAGTGGAGCCTTACCTGGTAAAATAAAATGAAAAATTGTTTCATTTTAGTCCGGGTCTCTATGAGTATGGGTCTCTGTGGGTCTCTATGAGTATGGGTCTCTGTGGGTCTCTATGAGTATGGGTCTCTGTGGGTCTCTATGAGTATGGGTCTCTCTGAGTACAGGGTCTCTGTGGGTGTTTATGAGTATTGGTCTCTGTGGGTCTCTATGGGTATGGGTCTCTGTGGGTCTCTATGAGTATTGGTCTCTCTGAGTACAGGGTCTCTGTGGGTGTTTATGAGTATGGGTCTATGTGGGTATGGGTCTCTCTGAGTACGGGTCTCTGTGGGTGTTTATAAGTATGGGTCTATGTGGGTATGGGTCTCTCTGAGTACAGGGTCTCTGTGGGTGTTTATGAGTATGGGTCTATGTGGGTATGGGTCTCTCTGAGTACGGGTCTCTGTGGGTGTTTATGAGTATGGGTCTATGTGCTTGAGTATGGGTCTCCTCTGAGTGTTGGTCCATGAGTATGGGTCTCTGTGGGCCAGGTCATATCTGAAAAGAGCTTTGTAGCTCAATGGGGGACTTACACCTGGTAAAAGTAAAAGATAAAAAGTTGAGTTTAGTTCGCTGATGCTGTCACCTTTGCGAGACGTCATGTAATTTTCGCCCGTCCACTCCATGAAGACGATCCTTTCGTACACGGGGCCACGTTTGCAGTGTTCCACGTCTACTCCACTCTGAATCAGATCCACGATCTCCTGGATCCACGTCGTACCTAAGAGAGGTAGGGGGTGGGCGGAGGGGGGGTCAAGATGGAGGTGGTGATGATTATGAATGTGGTAGTTGTGGTGTTGATCATGATGGTAGCAGTGTTTGTGATGAAGGTGATGAAGATGGTGGTGATGATGGTGGTGGTTATGATAATTATGAATGTCGTGATAGTGGTGATGATGGTGATTATGGTGGTAGCAGTGGCGGTGATGAAGGTGGTGGTTGTCATGATGGTGGTTATGATGATGAATGTGGTAGTTGTGGTGTTCAATGAATAGCTCCGTATTGCCTAAACAACTTTTGTTCGGCCGGATCGAGGGGGCTAAAGGGGCGCGGCACGGGCTAGAGAAGAGATGGAGTGATGTGGTACAGGAGGATGTGGAGCTGAGTGGACTTGCCGATGATTGGTACCAGCGGTGTCAGGTTCGGCCTCTGTGGAGGAGGCTCGTGAAGGACGCTACTGGGTAGTTGGACGCAGTCGCCCTCCAGCAACAACGGAGGGCAGAGGAGCAACGCTCACAACAACGAGCGGAGCGCTGGGTTGCTAAAACATAGAATGTTGATACAGCAGGGGGCACACGTGGTGCACCGGCAAGTCATATCATTCATTCACCCCATGGCACCTGCTCGGTCTGTCCTGTGACCTGCCAGCGGGCATGCGACACTTCACCATCATCAGCCTGCACAAGCGCCGTGGTGACGTCACCACCACTTCTTGGCGGTTGGTGTTGTTGTAGATGGTAGAAGTGGTGATGAAGGTGGTGGTGGTGTTGGTGATGGTGGTGGTGGTGTTGGTGGTGAAGGTGGTGGTGGTGTTGGTGGTCGTTAGGATGTTTATAAATATCGTAGTGGTGATGATGGTGATTAAGAAAATGGTGGTAGCAGTGATCGTGATGAAGGTGGTCGTGGTGATAAAGGTAGCGGCGATTATAATGGCTACCGTATTAAGGTAGTGGTGGTGGTGATTATAATAATGATGATCACGCTAATTCTGATTGATGGTGATGATGATGAAGATGATTATGATAGTCATCGCGATTGTCACGATGCTTTTGAAGGTGGTGAATGTGGTGGCAGCGGTGGTGGTGATGATGACGATGATAATGAAGGTGGTAGTGATGCTGATGGTGGTGCTGATGGTGGTGCTGCTGCTTCTGTTAATACTCACCCGCCTTGGGGTAAGTTGCTATCAGGAGGTCTCCGGGCCTGGCTTTAAACGACTCCACCAGGCTCCACTCCCTCGCTATGAAGTCCAGCATGGCGACTCCATGCACCGGCAACAGTTTGGGCCTCTCCATACCAGCAGCTCAGCAAGTAGGACGCTGGGAGAGATGGGAGCAGGTGAGGAGGAAGAAAAGCCGTTGGTTGAGTCGTCTGCCCCGTTATTGACCCCGAGTACTTCGTTGTTAATTACAGGAGACCTGGGTTTGAGTCAGAGTTTTGTATACATTGGAGTTCATCAGCGATCTCCCAAGCTACACACTGCCAATGGATGCACCCTTGTGTGTTTGTGTGAAGGTGAGTGTGTGGGGGCGCGGTAGTGCAGCGGTTAATGCGTGGAGCTACGAACCCAGGTTCAATTTCCGCTCACGGTCAAAACCAATGACGGTCATCTGAACCAGTCCTGGTGCCCGCTTCAAATAATTAAATGGAGCAGTGCGTAAAAACATCGCAACTGGGGAAACAAAAGCGGCCGTGCGTGGTACTGGCCACCAACCCCCTCCATAGGCGCTGCTACTCGCTAACAGCACTTGGCCAGACAGTCTGTTAAGGCTACACGGGGAATCTTTGTCTTTGTAGTGTGGGTAATATCGTTTCTTAAAGCTCACAGAAGAGGGCAGCACATTCCCACCTACTCGGTCACGTGAGAGAAACGTTTGTTGCCTGGCAGTCCAAACCGTTTTTTAGCAAAATTTAAATGTTCCTGTTCTGATTACGTATACCTATGCGTACGTCTTCAGTTTTTCTTCTTGTTCCATTCCGATGATGCACATGGTACATTCTGATGACGCTCATTTGTTGCGATGTACCACATACGGAACGGGAAACAAAGCTAAAATTAAAGAACTATCGGTACCTCGGCTCCCACAATGCCATGCTTCTGTGGCACAGTATTGGCGCCAACTATTGGAGAGTGGTGTGGCATATGTGTACATCATCAGGTTTTATTCTGGTTCTGTTCCGATGATGTACATGGTAAGTTCTGATGACGTTAATTCGTTCTGATGACCTATGTGGTACGTTTGTACCACGTTCGAAACTGGAAGCAAAACTAACATTCAATAACTATCGGCACCTAGGCTCCCACTGCCATGTTTCTATGGCGGAGTTTTTGCGTCAACTATTGGAGAGTGGAGTGGCCGTCGTGTCACTCTGGTTCTCTGCGGTGAATAAAGACGTCTTTATGAAAAACAAAGGCGCAACTTTAACTGCGCCTCTCTGTAAATAAAGTTAATGCCGAGCCGCCCGCGTGGGTTCCGAAATGCGGCGGTGAAAGGGACCCCATCATAGACTCATCACACAGGGACCCACAGACTCACCACACAGAGACTCATCACACAGAGACCCACAGACTCACCACACAGAGACTCATCACACAGAGACCCACAGACTCACCACACAGAGACCCATAGACTCATCACACAGAGACCCACAGACTCACCACACAGAGACCCATAGACTCATCACACAGGGACCCATAGACTCATCACACAGGGACCCATAGACTCATCACACAGGGACCCAGAGACTCATCACACAGAGACCCACAGACTCACCACACAGAGACCCATAGACTCATCACACAGGGACCCATAGACTCATCACACAGGGACCCATAGACTCATCACACAGGGACCCATAGACTCATCACACAGGGACCCATAGACTCGCACAGAGACCCGTAGACTCGCACAAAGACCTATAGACTCACACAGAGATCCGTAGACTTGCACAAAGACCCATATGCTCACCACACAGAGAGCCATAGACTCAGAACACAGAGACCCATAGACTCGTCACACAGGGACCCATAGACTCATCACACAGGGACCCATAGACGCATCACACAGGGACCCATAGACTCGTCACACAGGGACCCATAGACTCGCACAGAGACCCGTAGACTCGCACAAAGACATATAGCCTCATCACACAGGGATCCATACACTCGCACAAAGACCCGTAGACTCGCACAAAGACCTATAGACTCACACAGAGACCCGTAGACTTGCACAAAGACCCATAGGCTCACCACACAGAGAGCCATAGACTCAGAACACAGAGACCCATAGACTCACCACGCAGATACCCATAGACTCACCACACAGAGACCAGTAGACTCATCACACAGATACCCACAGACTCACCACGCAGATACCCATAGACTCACCACACAGAGACCCGTAGACTCACATAGACCCATAGTTTGTCATTCTTCCACTGCACCGCCAATGAGCACGTTTTGCTACTTACATCATCAGTCTGTCAACTCCAGATGCCTGAGTGAATCGTTTGCTAAGTGTTGCCCAATCCTAGCCGGCTGGCTTGACAACTTAATAACGTTGGAGGAGGTGGGCATATCCACACTTTACCCCACCACCACCACCAGATGATCAGCTGATGACAGACCGAACTCGGATGAACCCATTCCCATTGCTCGGGAGATAGAGGTGGAGCGAAGGAGTTATCGATTTTAACCACCCTACTTTGAACGCAGGATCTCAGCTCTCTGACTTATACACCGTGAAACCACAGTGGCTAGGATGTGTTAAATACCTCGCCTGGTATACAGGAGGTTGTGGGTTTCGTTGTATTCGCTTCCTTTTTATTTTTATATTTCTTATATCTACGTTACTTTACCGAAAGAACCAAAGGATATGGGGCAAGTGCTGTTTGCGAGCACCTGTGAAGGCCGGCACTGTGACACACGAAGTGGTGGGTGGCCAGCAACACGCCCGGCCGCCTTTGTCTCCCCACTGGCGGTCTTTACTACACACCACCGCACCCGGGTCTCATTTTGTGGCAGAGTGGACCTAGAGGGAGGCCCAAGACCGGTGCAGATAATCGTCACTGGAGTCGGTGACCTTGAGTGGGAATTGAACTCGGGTCGCCGGATTCGTAGTGCAGTTCACAGTCCACTGCGTGCCCGCTAGGCACTCTTGACACACTCAAATTTCATGCATGTAATTTGAACTTCTTATGCACCGTACGTCGCTAATCGTGCTTATAATCGAAGGTGTCTCTGTGTAAGTCTGTGGGTCTCTGTGTGAGTCTGTGGGGTCGCTGTGTGAGTCTGTGGGTCTCTGTGGGGTCTCTGTGTGAGTCTGTGGGTCTCTGTGTGGGTCTGTGGGTCTCTGTGTGAGTCTGTGGGTCTGTCTGAATCTGTCGGCTCTGTGTGAGTCTGTGGGTCTCTGAGGTCTCTGTGGGTCTCTGTGTGAGTATGTGGGTCTCTGTGTGAGACCGGTCTCTGTGTGAGTATGTGGGTCTCTGTGTGAGTCCGTGGGTCTCTGTGTGAGTCTGTCGGTCTCTGTGTGAGTCTGTGGGGTCTCTGTGTGAGTGTGTCGGTCTCTATGTGAGTCTGTGGGGTCTCTGTGTGAGTCTGTCGGTCTCTGTGTGAGTCTATATACTAATTTATGTCGAACTTCTTTCGCACCGTACGTAGCAAACCCTGTCACTCACCTGATATAGCCGCACACACTCGAACAAATACACTCACACTGACACACAGAGATAATTAGTTTCCCTGTGTGTCAAGTAAGTGTGACCCGTTCTGCTCAACACACCTGGGCGCGCATGAACCTGGATGCGGACAAACAGCTGGGCGTGGATGAACCACCTGAACATGCATTAACAACCTAAACACAAATGAACACCTCGCACGGATGAACAATTGACACGGGCGAGAAACCTGAACGCGGTTGAACAAACGGACGCTGGTGAACGCCCCGACACGCGTGAACATCTGAACAAGAATGAACCACCTTAACGCAGACGACGAACCAACCCCCACGCTTGAGATCCCACAGCCTCCGACTTGCTTCTCAACGGTGGCGCGATGCGATGCCAAACTCCCCCCCCACCACCGAGGCCGGCAAACTGAGAGCCCAGAGCGGATGGAGACCTCGCCTACACGACACAGGCCACGGTGCCTCACAGCTAAAGGGGTTGGGTGAGGCTGTGGGTGAACTCCCGTTGCTGCTTAAGAATCAGAGTGGGCGGTGCGTGGGGTGGGGTGGGTGGCTTTGCGCTGTGCTGACCAAGGACACAGCGTTCCCCCACACCCTGGCCCCACTTGGAGCCATTCGCACACAAAAGCAAAGATCCCCCGTATAGCCTTCAATGTGTGCATATGTACGTCTCTCTCTATGTATCTCTGTGATATGTCTCTGCTTATATGTCTGTCTATATGTATCTTGTTCTTTGTTTTATCTCTCTCATATAAGCAGACAGATATCACAGAGATACATAGAGAGAGACATACATAGATGCCTATGTATGTCTCTCTCTATATGTATCTCTGTGATATCTGTCTCTGCTTATGTGTCTGTCTATATGGCTCTGATTCTGTGTTTTATCTCTCTCTCAAATTTAGCATTCTCAGGAAGAACGCAATCAACCAGGTAGGGTGATGACTGTTATGTTATCCGACTCTCTGTTGTATTACATTACATTTCTAAGTATACTAGATTTGTGTTTATATTTCATTTATACCTGATGATGATTGCTTGTGTTGCAATCGAAAGGTCGTATGCTAGTATTTAATTTATTATTTTCTCTTTATACGTGACTTTACCGAAAAGAACTAAAGAGTAATTCCTGAAGTCACGAAAGCTCCAAATTAAGTTTATTTCAATAGACAGTTGTGGCAAGTGATGTTGGCGTCCAATGAAGGTCGGCGCAGAGGCACACGCGGGGGTGGGTGGCCAGCAACCACGCCCGACCGCCTTTGTCTCCCCAGTGGTGATGTTAACTACATGACACGCCAAAAACTCATTTGAGGCTGAGCAGACCTAGGGGAGGAGGTGTTCGTGGCCCTGAGCGGGAATCGAACTCGGGTTGTAGCGCGGTTTGTAACGCAGTGTAGCGCTAACCGCCGCACCACCGCTCCCCATTTCCACACTTTCACCACCACCATCATCACGTGACCTGCTATTCAGACTCAACTGGGATAAACCCATTCACACTGCAAGGGATGGAGAGGTGGGGGGGAGGAAGTTACCGATTTTAACCAACGTACTTTGATCCCGGGATCTCAGCGTTCTGACATCCACAGTGGGTGACCCGTTGGCTAGAAGATGTCAACTCCCTCGCCTGGTATACAGGAGGTCGTGGGTTCGATCTCGACCATGACGACGCCTGCTATATATTTGGAGTTTGCGTGCCTCTCTCTCTTTTTTACGATCAGTGGAAACAAGAAGATGCTCGGTGTAGTCGGCACTTTGCTTCGTTCATTATTTCGTAATTTTTTTTGAATTTTTCTTTTATAACTTTGCTTTATGTAAACCCCCACCTCTCGCTCGCTCACTCTCTCGCTCGAGGGTGAAAGTGTGCGTGTGTGTGGATGTGTTTGTGTGTGGATGTGTGTGTGTATGTATGTGTATGTGTGTGTGTGTCTGTATGTGTGTGTATATGTGTGTACGTATGTGCGTGTGTATGTGCCCAGCCACCGCATGCCTAAACAGCTTTTGTTCGGCCGGATCGAGGGGGCTAAACGGGCGCGGCACGGGCTAGAGAAGAGATGGAGTGATGTGGTACAGGGGGACGTGGAGCTGAGTGGACTTGCCGATGACTGGTACCAGCGGTGTCAAGATCGGCCTCAGTGGAGGAGGCTCGTGAAGGACGCTACTGGGCAGTTGGAGGCAGTCGCCCTCCAACAACAACGGAGGGCGGAGGAGCGACGCTCACAACAACGAGCGGAGCGCCGGGTGGCTAAAGCACAGCAAGTTGGTACAGTAGGGGGCACAGGTGGTGCATCAGCCAGTCATCTCGGTCATCTCGGTCAGTCGACCCGTGTCACCTGGGTCTACCCCGTGACCTCCTGCCAGCGGGCGTTCGACACTTCACGTGGCCTCAAGGTGCACATGGCCTGGAACAAGCATCGTGGTGACGTCACCGCCACTTAGTGGCGAATGGCGGTTGTTGTTGTTGTTGTGTATGTGCGTGTGTAAAGTATGTGCGTGTGTATGTGTGTGTATGTGTGTGTAAGTGCGTGTGTGTATATGTGTGTATGTGTGTGTGTATGTATGTGTGTGTATGTGTGTGTGTATGTCTGTGTTAGTGCGTGTGTATGTGTGTGTATGTATGTGTGTGTGTCTGTATGTGTAAGTGCGTGTGTGTGTGTATGTGTGTGTACGTGTATGAGTATGTGTGTGTGAGTATGTGTTTGTGTGTGTATGTGTGTGTGTATGTGTGTATATATGTGTGTATGTATGTGTGTATTTGTGTGTGTGTGTATGTGTGTGTGTATGTGTGTGTAAGCGTGTGTAAGTACGTGTGTCTTCATTGTCCAGCAAAAACAACCCCCTACCTCCTCGGTGGTGCTGGACTGTGACGCCGCCCTCTCTCTCCCTCTCACTCCAATTTTTTTACGATCAGTGGAAGCAAGAAGATGCTCGGTGTATTCGGCACTTTGCTTCGTTCATCATTTCGTAATTTTTTTAATAACTTTGCTTTATGTAAATCCCCACCTCTCGATCACTCTCTCGCTCTCTCTCGTTCTGCACGCAGCCCTTCTCGCAGTCCAACGGCCTCCGACAGGTAGCTCATAACTGCATGCAGAGCTCCCCGTCATCTGCCACCGAGCATACGACCTCCTCCATCGCCCACTTTCTCCCCCCTTCCTTTCTCTCTCCACCCCCTCTCTCCGCTCCCTCCGCTCCCCCTCTCTCTACACCCTCTCATCTCTCCCCCTCACTCCCCTCCTCTGGTTGCACTCTCTCCCCCCCCCCCTCTCCCTCCCCTCTATTTCTCCCCCTCTCTCCTTTTTTTCAGATCTTTCAACGTTGATTGCTTCCACAACGTTCTGTGGTTTTACACGAGGAGCCTGGGCCCCAGCAGGACGGCAGCACTTGTCGTAGTTAAAAAAAAGAGCGAGAGAGCGACATAGAGTAGGAAGAGAGGGGGTAGAGAGAGAGGGGGGGGGCAGAGAGGGGGGTAGAGAGAGAGGGGGGGGGGGTAAGGAGAGTAGAGTGAGAAATAATTTGTTAAAGCTTTCATTTATAAAAAAATGTATCTCCTTATCCTTTGGGCATGTGTTGCACACTCGAAATGAAGGACGTGGGCAGGTGCTCCAAATCGAGGGCAAACACATTTATTGTGGTTAATAGCAATCTTGTGAAGAACAGCACCGTCACTCTGGAAAATGCAACAACACGTGTTACACGCAGAAATTCTTCCGAGTCGCCATTAAACATGTGGCTGGTTTACACGTGCGGTTATTCATTAACCCTTTCTCTTAAACCCAATTCTACTACTGATAAACCATCTTTGTCTTTGACAATCACATTTGCACAACACTATTCGAATATTCCTGTAATCCTAAGCTGTATGTCTATCTATACCATTCACTTATATCAGTATCTTACACCCATTATATGTACTGTATGTGTACAGTATACGTACTCTATATCAGCATTGTACAGCTTACTACTTTACATGTGTTCTATTCTCAATAGCATTGCAAGTAGTCATACTTTGGGTACATGGGCATGGTTATAGACTAAACAGTATTAGAGTTAGAGAATTACAATGATAGTAAGTAATTACAGTGCGTCATCCCTTTACAATGCACAGTGCTAAAACGCCTCTAATTGCATATATCACAAACGAACAATTTGTAATAAAGGACTCTCTCTCAGATGTCGATCTCCGTTGTCCTTTATTGGGTTCGTAGAATCTCGATACCACGGCGTCTCGCTCAGGCCCGCGTCCCTCTCAACGACCTCTCCACAGCCCTCGGCTGCTCCGATATGCAGTCTCCCTGCTGCTCTGTAAGGCAGTCTCCCTGCTGCTCCGCCTTGCAGCCCCACCGCTGCTCCGCTCTCTAGCTTCACTGCTGCCCCGTATACAGCTAGCCTCCCACAGCCGCTAGCTCTCTGCGTCTGACACCGATGGCTAACGATGTCGACGTCTCCCACCGCGTGGCGACCGCGCCACTCTCTCCGTCCTGCCCAGCGTGGCCTCCTCCTGTTTCACTCCGTCTCAACCCCCCTTTCCCCTTCCGGATCTCTCCCTAAATCTTCTCTCCCACGTGACCCTAACTCCACCCACTCCCCACGTGACCCAGACTCCGCCCCCCTCAATCCTT